GGGGGGGGGGGGGGGAGGTGGAGTGAGAGTCGTTTCGTGGAAATCATGCGTCCATAAGCAGGGGGAGGTGGAATGAGAATCGCTTCCCGCGTGTGGAAGTCGGGAAGTCGTGTGTCCTTAAGCAGGAGAGGAGGTGAGAGTCGCTTTACAATTTCGAAAAATGATAAAATATAGGTACTTTAAAATAAAAAATTACCGTTTTATATAGTAGAAAAGAGACATTCATCATTTTTCAAACTTGCTTTGTTAATAACTTTTTAATGAACGACAAGCATTAAAAGTTGGTGGAGATCTATCAGGATCATAATCTTAATAATATATATCAAGGTTAAAGTTTCAGAGCTGTCTCCTCCTCCTATTCAGCATATCAGCCATGTCATTTTTGCTAATTTTCTGATTTGAGAATTAATTAATTGAGAAATTTGTTATACATATAAGAAATCGGATCTTACATGGCTTAGTACCCAATATAATTTATTCATTAAATTTATCGTATATTTATTCACTAAGTTTTATTAGATCAAAATAATATTGTGTACGAGGACTGTTTGATAAATACCGTGTTAGGGAAGAAAACACTTTAAAAAAAAAATTTTTTTTTTTATTTCTCTACTCCTTTCAGCTCAATACATTTAGCCCAGCGATATTCCAACATTTTTGTACCGTTTAAAAAATATGATTGGTCGAACTCCTTAAAATAGGCCTCTGTTTCGGTGATGACTTTCTCATTTGATGCAAAGCGCTTTCCGCCAAGCCATTTTTTTATGTTTGGAAATAAATAGAAATCGCAGAGGGCCAAATCTGGAGAATAGGGTAGATGAAATAACAATTCGTAGCGTAATTCGACCAGTTTTGCCATGGCAATTGTGGACGAATGAGCTGGTGCGTTATCATGATGAAAGAGTTCTTTTCTTTTTTTTCTTTCTTTCTTCTTTTCGCTAAATGAGATTTTTTCTTCAATTCAGTGTCGAATCGGTCCAATAAATCAGCATAGTACTGTTCCGTGATTATCCTTCCCTTCTTTCCAAATAATCGGTGAAAATAATGCTTCGCGAATCCCAAAAAAACAGTGGCCATGATCTTTCCGGCCGATGGAACCGTTTTTGCCTTCTTTGGAGCAGATTCGCCGGATTTAGTCCATTGTTTAGACTGTTCTTTCGTTTCTGATGTGTAATGGTGGATCCATGTTTCGTCAACAGTGATGAAATGCCGCAGAAAATCTTTCGGATTGCGCTTAAACATGTCCAAAAGTGCTTTGAAGTTGTCATGCGATTCCGTTTTTGTTCCACTGTGAGCAAACGCGGCACTCATCTCGCCGACAGCTTTTTCGTGCCCAATGTTTCATGTAGGACATTTTGTATGCGTTCAGTTGAGATCTTTACAATGTTAGCAATCTCTCTGATCTTCATCCGGTCTGCTAACACGATATCATGGATTTTGTTGACTATATCCTCCATAGTCATCTCAATCGGACGACCTGGGCGTTCTTCATCAAAAATGGATGTTCGGCCACGTTTAAATTCGTTGTACCAATA